TAGGATCCTAGTTGTCAAGGAACTAGTCAAACACCTCTATCTGAGAGTACTGTCAAGTTGAGGGCTCTGGTCCCATAAGAAAACCTGAGTAAATTGGCTTCACACTTGATACTTATCTCAGATTTATCTCTGGGTCCCCAGCATCTTTTCTATCCGGCTGAGCGACCTTAGGCCAGATGCCAGTGTCCCCTGGGTCTCCAGTTTCTTGGTTGTTGAGTGGATCAGTTGTCCTTTCCCTTGCACAATTGCTGAAGGAGCATTTGAACCTGGGGACATATGCAAAACCAGGTGACCCAGGATTCTAGTGCCCCTCATGGGGATAACTCCAAGGGTTCCCAGCTAAGCAGCTTGGGCTCTGGCCTCCCAATCATGACGTCAGTTTGACACTGTGCTCACTTCAGCCCTCCTTCCGATAGGAGGCTTGTTGAAGAGAAGAATCTGACAGTAGTCTCAGGCTATCTCCTGTTATCCACCAGCCACATGCAGCTTCTCCTCACCAGGTCAAGCACGGTCCTCAGAGCTCAGGGCTGCTCTGCACATGTCTCGCAGGCTGGGATGCAAGGATTTTTTCAGAAGAGGGGGCTACTCTGTGTAGACATGATGCCCTGGTGTTCCTCTGTTACCTTAATAGGACTCATCTTTCCTAGGATTCCACCCATGAGAAGCTCTTTCCGGGAGGCCTGAGCTCTGATTCCTAGTCTCTGTGTATCCCTGGGAGGCCTCTTCATCCTCTAAGCCTCAGTGTCTTCATTGGAAAGCAAGCAGAATACGTGAATATCTTGACGTGAGGCCCACCAACAATGTGTGCTCTGGTTCTAAGGGTGTCCCAGGCCTCATGTGCTTCTGTATTAATTATGGTAGGGGAGGGATGACAGACCCATCCCACTTACAGCTGAGGAATTGGAGACCCAGAGAGCTTTGGCATCCTGTTTGAAGTTACCCATCCAGAAAGAGGGTGCCAGGAACCCAGTAAACCAGACTCCCAGGCTAGCTTGTCCTCTGTTAACCCCACTGGGGTTAATTCCCATGCTCATTCAAAGGCATCTATTAATAAAGATGTATTCGAGACGCCTGTCTCCTCTAAAACCACATGCATGGAAGTAACTCTTGCTGTTGTAAACATTCTCAGCATTCAACAGTGGATGGGGACCACCCTCTTGTCTTTACCACCATGCGTCTCTCAGAGGACATGTCCTGATGCTTGGGGGTCAACTGTTCACTCAGCCAATAAGCATTTGCTTGGTCCCCACCGGGGCTAGTAGTGCCCTGGGAACTGGGGATGAGTCATAAGTGTGGGGGCCTGAAGGGTTCCCACTAAACCCTCAGCCCTCACGGTCCATTGACGTCCTTCCACTTCCATGGCCTCCTGGCTTTCCTCCCTGCCATATACACAGTGGATCCTGGAGGGTCCTCTGCCTTTCCTCTTTCTATGCCTCTCAGAATGGCTCCTCCTTACCAGGCCAACCATTTGGCCCTAGTATTGCTTTCTCGATGCCATTGATGTAACAAATGACTTGCCAAGATCAAAATTCATTCTCTCACAGTTCTGGTGGCTGAAGTCTACAGTCAGCATAGCCTGCTTGAGTTCCAGGCTTCTGCCGGACCGAGATCTCCCTCTTCCAGTTCCGTGTGGCTGCTGACATTCCTTGTGGCTGCAACATGTTGACCTCTGTCTCCAGGATCACATCTCCATCTCCTCTTCTCTGTCTTATCTTCTTCTGCCTCCTCCTACATGGATGTAGGTGTGTGGTTATATGCAGGGCCACACTGATAGTCATGGGAACCCCCCAAGCTGCAGAGCCTCAGCCGAGTCCCTTCTGCAGAGCCCCCTTACCACCACATGTACACCTTGTGATGGAGACCTGGCTAGATTGGGGTAGGAGGACTTTTCAACCAACTCCAGACCTGGAAGTACTTCTGGCCCTGACATCCCCCTCCTAGTAGAATCAGATCTGTCCCCACATGTTGTTCCAATTTTGACTTCTTTATATTCCTGGAATCTATATGCCTCATCCAGGCCCTGCTGCCACCTTCCCAGGGACCCGCAGCTTGCTCTCAGCTCCCCATAACCACTGACATTCTTCCAGTCCACCTTGTTCACAGCAGCTGTGAGTCACACGGAGGTCTTCCTTACCCAGAAGTCTTCAGGCTGCTGACTACCCTTCCCATGGAGACCTACTCTGCATTACATGCTATGAGCTTTCCCTCCAGGTTCCCAGTCACTCAAACAGTCAGCTTGTTCCATTGACGGTAGCCCTCCTCTCTAGGCCTTTCTATGTGCTGTGTCCCTCACCTGCACACGGTTCCTCTCTCTAACTTTTCTGGCTGATAGGAAGGGTTGGGGCAAGTTTTGGTTAGACATCATTCTTGTTTCTTGAGTCCGGCCGGGCCTGATGCTTCCCTGTGTAGCTGGCTCCTCCACCAGCCCTTGCCTGTAACTGGACTGCTCTTCCCAGTGGGCAATATCCCCTGGCACCTGGGCTCTCCCAAGGTAAAGGCAGCAGGTGAATGACCACATCTAGCATCCTACACTAGACTCACGCTGATGCCAAATGCTTAGCCGGCCCCATTAGAGTACCAACTGCACTTCTGTCCTCCAAGCTCCCACCTAGCGACAGTATAGGACCCCCAGGGCACCCTGAGGTCAGGGAGAAGGGGGACGACCTATACAGCTATTCTGTCTCTCTCGGTCAGGGTGATGATGTGACAGATGCCACTGGGTTATTTGAGGGGGCGAATCATTTCTGAACATCTGGATGGGTGATGCCAGGGACCGGACAAGGAACCCTAGCCAGTATCAGCTAAGTTCAAACAACAGAGACACCAGCTCTTCTGATTGTCTGAGAGAACCGGAGGCCCTGTCTTTGGTGTGGACTCCCCTACTTCTTAAATCTGAACCAACCAGTGGGAGCTGCGCCAGTCCCCCGCGGGTTGTAATTGCATGAAGTGGAGGAATTCCGTCCCCAGGCTAGACACAGTGTGAGCCTCCTGACGTGGGGATATGGCGAACTGAAGAGGCAAAGTGTGGGAACTGGAGTGACGGAGGGGCAGGTGAGCGGGGTGGCACCAGGTGACTGAATCAGAGAAAGGATCTCTGGGAGGCTCTGAGCCTGCTGGGAAAGAGAGAATAGGGGTTTATTAGCAGGTGGCCCAGGTGAGAGATGGCAGCAGGAAGTCCATCATTAGTGTAGGGCAAGTTCGGGGTCAGTGGCTCAGCTGTGTTCACACACAACCTAGCGACCATTGTGAGGCTCAAACAGGTGCAGGCTGAGAGCCTCGAGTGACACAGAACACAGTAACCTGAAAGCAGACAGAAGGGTCCAGCAGGAAGCCCCACGCAGTCAACACCCGTTATAGAGTCTGGTCTTAGGGTAAGGGTAGACAGAGGCAGGGAGGAGGCATAGAACTGTGACCAGCCACAGGGATGTCTGTCTGTCTGAGGTGTCCATGGCCAGGGAGTGTGTAACTTAATTTTGTCAAAACTATATTTTCCAAGAAAAGTGGCAGTTTCCTTTTCTTTAAGATTTACGCTTTATTTTAAGATGTATTTTTAGTTATATGTGTGCATGTGTCTATGTTGGGGTATGTCCATGTAAATGTGGTTGTCCTTGGAGGCTAGAAGAAGGCATTGGATCTCCTGGGGCTAGAGTCCCTGGATGTTGTGAGAAGTCTGACATGAGTTCTGGAAACTGAACGTGGGACTCGGCAAGAGCAGCAGACAGTCCTAACCACTGAGTCATGTCTGCAGTTCCTGCGATTTTTTTTTTTTCCGGAGCTGAGGACCGAACCCAAGGCCTTGCACTTGCTAGGCAAGCGCTCTACCACTGAGCTAAATCCCCAACCCCCCTGCGATTTCATTTTAAAAGGTGAAATCTCATCATTTTAGTGGTTGGATTCGCAGCATTAAAAGTATTGTTTGGGGCTTTAGAGATGGCTTACAGTAAAAACACTTCCTACGCAAAATATGAGAGCTTGAATTCAAATCCCCAGAATACACGAGCAGCTGGGTGTGGTGGTGTGAATGTCTATAATCCTAGCACCCTATGGGAAGGTGTGTGGGGGGAAGGAGACAGGAGGATCCCTGAAAGTTGCAGGCCAGCTAGCCTGACATACTCCGTGTAAAGACCACAATGGGACCCTGTTTAAACCAGGTGGAAAGGTATCGGAGATTGTCCTCTGACCTCCACATCTGTGCTGTGGCATGCATGCTCATCTGTCAAGACTTGGGTTTGACTCCCCAGAATAGGGCATAGTGGCATATGTCTCTAATTTCAGCACTCAAGAAGTGGAGGCAGGGGTTAGAATTTCAAGGTCAAGCTGAGCTATGGAGTTGGTGTGAGAATCCCCCAGCCCTCTCTCTTAAGAAAGCATTGTTTAGCTGGGCGGTGGTGGCGCATGCCTTTAATCCCAGCACTCGGGAGGCAGAGGCAGGCGGATCTCTGTGAGTTCGAGGCCAGCCTGGTCTACAGCGCGAGATCCAGGAAAGGCGCAAAGCTACACAGAGAAACCCTGTCTAGAAAAACCAAAAAAAAAAAAAAAAAAAAAAGAAAGAAAGAAAGCATTGTTTGGGCTGAGCTGAATTTGTCTGTGGGGAGGTGCAGTTCTTGGCTGATAGTTTTGACCTGTCTTGGAATGACTCTATATTCCTGGAGGTGGCCTGTATCTGATGCACCATTGTGTCCTCCTAGGCCCACATACAGACCTACAGCTATACTTGAACTCTCTCAGGCTGCTCTTGACATTTTGGGCTTTAGAAAGACTTTTCTGGAAGGAGTATAGAGATTCGCGGTGGGAGTTATTGCCTCTCTCCAGACAGGGCTCAGCACCTTCCTGCAGCTCAGGCTTCCAAATGGAGTCTGAACAGCTGAGGACCCCCTGCTTAGACCTCCAGCTGCTGAGGTGTTCCAGAGGGAGGAACAACCCCTAGGGGATCCTCCTTGCTGCTCTCCCTTCTCCGTCTGTGTGCTAGGAATCTGAATTTCTCTGCTTTGCCTCTGCAGGCAGGTCTGATCCGGATGGAGGAGGAGGAGTTCTTTATTGAGCCCCTGGAGAGGGGGCAGACGGATCAGGAGGCTGAGCAAGGCCGAGTGCACGTGGTGTATCGCCGTCCACCCACTCCCAAACCCCCTCCTCTGGCGGGACCCCAGGTTCTGGACACAGGTAAGGCTGCTGTAGAAGGGCAGGCTGGGTGGGGAGCACCGGATGTCTGCTGACTGTCTGTTCCTGGTTCCCAGGGAAACTCAGGCCTCCTTCTGCAGGCCCAACTGGAGGCTGAAGTTGAGCCCCAGCCTCACTGGCTCAGGAAGGAGTTCATGGCATGTGGGGTGCTGGGGTGTTGAGGCCCAGGGCTCTGCTCTGAGTACATATGGGTAAGAGTGGAGATCCCCCACTGCTTACAGGTCTAGGGTCCTCACAGAGGGAAGAGAAGACTGTCTAGTGGTCCATCTTCTGCGAATGCTGGGGAACAGGAGAGAGCTGTGTCAATACAGACAGCATCTTGTGTCCTCCAGACAGCCCCTGTGTCCTGCTCCTGTACTACTGCAGTCTCTGTGATGGTGCCTGCTTCTATCCCAGGGTTTCCATGCTCATTCAGAAGAAAAGGCCCCGAGCATTCTTTTTCTACACCTTCCCACCCCAGAACACACCTTGAAAAGACTCCAGAGTAGCTCCAACAACGTCGATGTCTTCCACATGTATTCACAGGATCTTAGCATTTTCAACTTAGAATCACAGGGTGCTTTGGGTCCAGGAATATGAGAGGAGCTACTGAGTGACTGACTGGCCACCTGGCTGTCGCCTCACCAGTCTTGCCAAGAAAGCCCAACCCACCCCAGAGGTCTCTGGATTTGGGCTACTGGTTTGTATGGCGGTCTGAGTCAGGATCTAAAGTGCTCTTGCAGGTCCCAGGGTCCTGGTGTGTAGATGAGGCTTCCTTGCCTGTCCCTGGCTTTTGCCAGGCAGCTGCGTATCTGGGCATTTGAGTGCTTAGCCCTCAGTCTTGGACCTGGACCCCAGGCTGAGTAAAGCCATGAAAGGTGGGGACAGCCATGGACAGGGGGCCCAGAATGTTGGGTCAGGGACATTTGCAGGCATCTAGTTAGTAGATGCCCCTGACGGGCCAGCCCCTCCCTGGGCTACGGTTTATTGAAATCACCCCACTCCTCTAAGGGAACCCCAGCTCATTTATTTTAGCTCCCTCTGACAATCTGGTTTGACAGATCAATTGGGCACAGCCTGGCAGGGTACCGTTCTAATTTTAAGACACCAGGTCAGGTACCTCAGTAAAGGAATTGTTCATTGGCACACTGGTGTTCCCTGGAGATCATATTTCCAGCTGCCCCTTCTTCCCTGGTAATGAATAAGCCATCTACTTCAGCTGTCAACAGCTGGGCTGCTGGGGGCTACCTGCTCAGCCTTCTCCAAGCCTTTGCTTCTCTCCCACCCTTGGGCTTTCCTGCCTGAGGGTAACCCTGGAGGGCTGAAGGGGAAATCGTCCCAGAATGTGCCTCAGACCTGGAGGGAGGCCTCCTCCTGGACTCGCTCTCTTACCAGCCAACTGCCTTTGGACACAAAGTTAGCTTTCCTTCCCTTATAGCAGCTGACAGGAGTTAGAAAAGTCCGTCTCTTCTTTGGCCTCGCTATTTCTTCCAGTAGGGCTGATCTCTACGGGAAGAGCCTGGGTGGTTCTGGCCTCTTTCTTCCAACCCCTGGGCTCAGGCTGGGTGAGGTGGAGCCTGCACTATGGAGCTGGCAGGCTGCCCTTGGCTGTGTCTCCAATCCCAGATTCCATATTGGGCTTATCTTCCTACCCTGGGGCCCTTCCCCCAATGGTCTAGCTGGCTTGGTTTTGTTTTCTGGACCGTGCTTAGCGTTTTTTTTTTGGCATCTTCTGTTGAATAGTCCCTTTACCTCACGATCCCATACACACATCCCTAATGAGAACTTGGAACTGAGAACATAGGGAGAGGAATTTCAGAATCAAACCAGAAACCACTGACCCCAGACAGACAGTGCTGGGTGAGATCAACAGGCCCGGTCAGGAGGAAGCTGAGCTGGAAGGTGGGTGGGTGGGGCCTGGGCATCAGTCTTCAGAAGAGGAGATGAACCTGTCCAAGGCTAAACACAAGGCCACGGTCTCGGGCCGCAAGCCCAGGCGCTGCAGTCGGGAGCTCAGGCTTGTGTGTGAGTGTAGGTGGGAGTGAGTCCTGGGCTTCTTTAGATCACAGGCCTGTGCTGTGGGGGCTAAGCCTCCCTTCTGAGCCTTCCTATCCAGTGTCAACAGGATGAGACCCTGTAGACCACTGAATGTCTGATGGTCCCCAAATGGCCCGTGGCTAAGACGGACTCACTGGCTGGAGGGGGTCCAGATAGTTTATGCCAGAGCTGGGCCAAGGGCCCAGGGTGACCTCAGACAGTTCAGTTTTCCATCAGCTTGGGCCCTGACAAGGCACAGAATGGCAGTTGGAACTTATAAAATCTGTGTCCCATGACTGCGTATAGCAAGGCAGAATATCTTAACGGGCTCAGGACCCTAGGGTCTCAGTGCAAAGGCTTTGCTTGTGTGTGTGTAGGAGAGGCTATGGGCTGTCCTCAAAGCTTGGTCCCTGGGAGGCTAGGCTGAGGAGGCAGAACCTTTAGGAGGCGAGGCTAGCTTGTGGAGACTTTGCCCTCATCAGGGGACTCATGGAGTTGGTTGGGGCTCACTTATCATTCTTATAAGTGCAGATTTTTATAAACTGAGCTCACCACACATGCTTGATCTCTTCCTCATGGCTTCTCTGTCTCTCCACTGTGTTGTGACTCAACCAGGGGGGTGGTATGCCTGAAGATATTAGCACAGAGCCTGTGAACATCGCAAGCCAAACAAACTTCAGTACTTACCTCATGTGTTTTGGTCTAGTAACACACAGTAGACTCAGGCACCAGGGGACTTCATTAGCCCATTTTATGTTTTGATTATGATAATAAAATGCCTGAGTCAGGGAAACTTCGTAAGAAAGGAGGTTTATTTAGCTGACACTTCCGGAGGCTGAAAGTCCAAGATCAGGTGATCCTATTGGTTAGGTCTCTGGAGAGTCTCTGTATGGACCATGGCAGAACTGCACGCTGAGGTAAGAGAGCTCTCATCTTGAGGCAGGAAGCCGAAAAGTGACACACGGAAACCAAAGCCGGGCATCTGATAGGAACCGGACAGATGCACGCTGGAAGAGGCCAACTGCCCAGGCCAGGGTGAAGCTGGGCTAGAGGGGAGGGTGGATGGGGACTGGTTATTGGAGGAGATTTAACTATCCAAAGCTGAGTCGTAGGTCTCAGTCTTGGGCTGCAAGCCCAGACTCTGCCAATGAGAGCTTAAACTGCTGTGGGTCTGCCCCAAGGCAACCACAGGATCTGGGTTCAAGACATCCCAATAAGTATTGATAGAGAGGGAGAAGTCAAGACCCCAGGAAAGGGGAAACTTATGTGTCAACTAAAGTGTGAATTCTGGGTCCGTCCTTAGACCTTGTCCTAGTGTCTGTCTCTCATCATTGTCTGGGCTTCTTGAAGATGGAGCCAGCACTGGTGAGTGCAAGAGCTGAAGCCCCCGCTGGGCCAGAAGACCCACTCTGCACTTGGAACTGGGTGATCTTGGCGTGTAACTTGCCTCTAAGCATAAGACAGCTGCAGAACACCAGCTGCATAGACACGCATTATGTCATACTTTTGGGGACCAAAAGCCAGCGATCACTGTCACTGAGCCGAAATGGGGATGTGAGCAGGGCCACACTGCCTCTGGAGATGCTAGGAGGAAATTTGTTCAACGTGTCTTCAGGCTGTGGGCTGCTGACTTCCCTTGGCTTGAGGCTGCATCCCTCCAGAGGCTGTCTGCATGTCACTTCTCTTCCTCTGTTTGTGTCTGTGTCCCACCTCCCTATGCCTCCATCTTGGAAGGCTGGCTCCATGTAGGTTTCCTCTGGGTGGCCCAGGAGCACCTCCCCATCTCAAGTTCCTTGATCTAATCACATCTGATGAGCATTGTTCTGTGGTGGAAGGTGCCGGTAACAGGTCACAGAAGTCAGGACTCCCTCTCTGCAGTGACTCCCTTTCAGCTAAGTGCAGAAGACGAATCTGAGTGGGCTCTGCAGTGCATGGCACTCCTGTGGAGCACCCACTCACAGGAGCAACTTGATCCCGTCTTAGCCAGACGTCACCCCACACCTGGGAAAACCAGACAGATGAGGCCACATACACAACATCTGGCCTCACTGCTGCCATCAAAAGCTGTGTCTCCACTGAACTTGGGATTCTGTGACGATCCCTGTGTCATGGTCTAGATATTTGCTCTCCCTTCCATACCTACGGAGCTGTCTGTACAGTGTCCCACCCTTAAGACAAAAGCTGTAAATTCAGGTCTTCAGTGAAATCAGCCGCACACAGCAAACAACGAAATCCACTCCTGGCCTGGCTTTCATCCCCTCCCCCCTTCCCAGTTCTGTGGATTAAACTCAGGCCCTCATGTACGCTTCCTTCCTTCTCTTGACCTTGCTTTTTTATAGGTAGCCTCATGGATCTGGGGCAGCTGAATATTTTAGCATCAAGAGAATTCAGACAATAATTTTTATGAGAACTCTCCAGTGTTTTAAAATGTGGCTTCAAATTTCAGAAAAGCACCGTATGGACCAAATAAAACAGGCCCCTCCCATTGGCCAAGGCTACTGAGATGCAGAGGCTAAAGCAGTTTCTGTCCTTCCCGTTGGGCTGCTTCCCTGGGGTCCCCCTGGCTATACCTTGGAATGGAAATGGGGCAGGTGGTTCCCGCCCTGGGGACCTGCTTTCTGGGCTGCTGTGCCCTCAAGCCCAGCTGTACACACTGCCCCGGGGCTGAGAGAAGTCAGATAGTCCTGTGCCAGTGACCTTGGCTGCCGCCTCCTCTTCAGAAGCAGCGGGTGCCAAGCCTCTGCCCGCTGCTGTCAGGCTTGGGTGTCCTCCCTGACGGGCACAGGAGGTTCCACACCACAGGAGTTGCTCTGCCCTGCTGCTGCCGAGGCGAGCCTGCAGAGAGAGGATGAGGCGTAGGCACCCAGTGGCTCCTCCACGTGGCTGAGAGTGGTCCGGAAAAGTCTCCACCTGTTGGCCCGTAGCCAGCCCTTCCCCTAGACTGGGAAGCCAACCCCATCTGGCCA